TTTTAGCCACAGCCACAGGTCTTTGCTTACGAACCAGGTGATAAGCCAATAGCCTGAACTGAAACGACCATTCAGCTTTATGTTGAAGGGAACCTGGAGAGGTAAAATCCTGGGTAAATTCCATTCCAAGTATATATCCTGAATGACTTAAAATGAGAGCAAAAAATTATTTTTTGCTAAATTTTATTGTCTTTCGCAAGTGAATAGCTGTCAGTGTGTCTAAGAGAATCACATTTTAGAGAGTAGAAAGCTAGGGGAAGATGACTACACAGAGGTGTGCTGTTAAATAAGTATAAAATGGAATTAGCCAAAAGGTATTCAAAGGATATAGAGGTTGTCATTCCTTTCTATTCTTAGTTAGCAGCAGTCTGCCATACTTGTGCATAACTTTTGGAGAGTTTTACGTAGGAATCTTTTTTTTTCCTGTAACCCACAGGGGACGTGTGTGACTCCAACCCATGCAAAAATGGTGGCATCTGTCTGTCGGGGCTGAATGATGACTTCTACTCATGCGAGTGTCCTGAAGGCTTCACAGACCCCAATTGCTCTAGTGTTGTGGAGATTGGTAAGTGCAAACTTTAAATGCTGGAATAGTTGTTTGAGTATCCTGTTAGTCTGTGCCTGGCCAATCAGTGATCTTGTCCACAGCATTTTGTACAGTGCTGTGGTCACTGCATTGTTCATTATTGGTTTCTTAACCTTACCTCTATATCATACATATATGTATCATAATTAACAGACAGTTAAAGGAGTATCTGACAAGTGTATCTGCAGCACATAATCACACAGAAAAGTTCAGTGCTGTACTTCACAAACAGCAAAGATCATAGTTGTGACTTAAAGTGACCAACATTTCTCAAAGATCAATGTAATTAGATATTTCTGTATATCCTTCTGCTGATCAATGACCATTTAAAGTTTGGTTTCTGATAGTTTTATGCCTAGGTCCAGAGTAAAGAGTAATTACTTAAAGAAGTGAAGTTACGGAAAGAGTATAGGAGAAATGAGAATAACACATAGTTGTCACTTGTTTGAATTTCAAAACAATTACCCAGCTGGAGGTTGTAATTAATCATTACATGAGTGCATAGTGTGCAAGTCAAATGTACTGAAATTTTGTGATGTGCGTTTGATTCAGAGTAAATGTAAATATGAGTGGTAGCTCTAAAACATCTGGCAGGTCAGGCCTCTGTCTTAAGAAAACTTAAAGGAGAAAATCAAAGTGCAAGGGAAAAGATGGTAGACGGCTCACTGTGTCACAGGCCATCCCATCATTTTCGATGAAGCAGAAGAGCTGCAAGTTGATCAAGCTCTTATATTATCCCGAAGAAGGTATAAAAGTACATATGGTAGAGCAAAACAATAAGTAGACACTACTGTTTAAATAGGTACATTTTCTACCTATCTCTTCCATGGAGTTGTGGGAGTTAGGGTAGGAAGGTAGAAGATACAGAAAAGCATTGACTGACAGAAGAGATGGCAGCGTCTCTTACTGTGTTCGTATTAGGAAAATAGGCAAAAGTGGAAGTTCTGTGGCAGTACCTCGTATCTGAAGGCTTTGCATGCCCTGCCTGCATTTCTTCTACTGACAGCCAAAGTATTTGAAAACAGTACGACCCTTCAGGTATTTCATATCGTATGTCCATGTCTGTGATTCATCAAACTGGGTTATGCTAACATGCTTAAGTCTGTGACAGCTGAGTAGTGCTGACACATTTTGCTTCTGCCAGCTGTACTCTAGGACACCAGCCTCAGGCAGAAAGGCAATGCCAACAGCCTTGCTTCTACAGATGTCTTGTTGAAACTGTCACAGCACCTCTCTAACACTGCAACCATCCTAAATCTCTGTGGTTTTCCTTTTTTAATAAATAAGTAAAAGCTACACAGGCACAACCTGAATACACCGTTCTGGGGATTAAGTATATCCCTCTCTATCACGAGATAAGGCAAGCAGAACTTAGTCCAGGAACCCAGGGTTGGTTTGGTTTTTGTTTTCTGTTTTATTTTTCTGAAAATGATGCTACCGTTGTTCTGGGAGTCTAAGTCTCCACAACGCAATTTTAAGGGAATCTGGATTTAATTTGATTTCTCAGAAGATAAATTTTCTGCAGACAAATGAACTAGTTCCTGTGAGAGAATGACCAACTTTGGGCAGACACCAACTGCATTTTTTTCTGACTCTAAAATGTCATAGTAGCTGGTTATTACCTAACATTTGGTTATTACCTAACATTTAATTGTTACCTAACATTTGAGCTGCACAAGAAACTGCTTGTTCCCTTGATGAAGCCACACAAGAAGCCGGAAGACACTGCTGCAGAATCCTGTTTT